TGGTGGCCACTTCTTGCTAAATTAACTCTTCTTTGGCTTCTTAGACACTTGATATCTGACTGGGTTGTAACCTAGCCAGCCACAGCTTCACTTTATAACACATTTCCTCTTAATATCACAAGGTGATATTAGTCCAGGATCCTAGTATCCCCAAACCCTGACGCTCCTTTCCATCTGTTTCTTTGCTCATATATCTTTTTTCTAGAATGAACTCTTCTCTTTTTTCTGTTTATCATAGTCTTATTCATTAAGATCTGTTTCTCCGTGCAGCTCTTTATGACTTTTAGCCTTGATTTCTTTTGTCCCTGACATTGTGTAGTATAATCACATACTGGCTTGTATGAGTTTTGTACAGCCAACTAGGTTGAAAACCCTTTAGGGCAAGTCCATTCGACACTTTTACTTCACTTCTGAAGTATCTAACTCAATAACAGTGCACAACAGAAACAGTTTGATTACTTCAAGACTGGGATCTTCTCTTTTAATTTAATTGGGTGGGTAGAGGCTCAATTTCCATTTCCTCCTCTTGTTTTTCAGTTGGCTAAGTGGAAGACAGCTGAGGAGGTGGCTGCCCTGATCCGGTCTCTGCCTGTGGAGGAGCAGCCCAAGCAGATCATTGTCACTAGGAAGGGCATGCTGGATCCATTGGAGGTGAGAGGTGGATGAGGTGGAAGAAAGGAGGGCTGAGACCTGCAGGCTCTGTGTCTAATCTTGGATTTTATCTTGTCTCAGGTACACTTGCTGGACTTCCCCAATATCGTGATCAAAGGATCAGAGCTTCAACTCCCTTTCCAGGCTTGTCTCAAGGTGGAAAAGTTTGGGGACCTCATCCTTAAAGCCACTGAGCCCCAGATGGTTCTCTTTAACCTCTATGATGACTGGCTCAAGACTATCTCATCTTACACGGTATGAAGCCATGTCATGAAGAGGGTCACTTTAAGAGGAGTGGGTTTGGGACCACGAAAAAATCTCGTGCCCTAGCTTTTCCCACAGGCCCCTTACGGGGCCATTTTTACATCTTCAACCTGTGTATGGGACAGTGACTCTCTGTTCTGTATATCAAATTGACTCGTAAGGGGGGACAGAGTTGGAGGGCAGTGGCACCGTAGAGTTTAAAATCAATTCCTGGGTTCCCTGGAAGAATAGGATCGACAAGAGGAAAGGACATCAAGCATCTGACCTCCCTTTGCACTGCCACATCTCTTCCTAGGCTTTCTCCCGCCTCATTTTAATTCTGCGTGCCCTGCATGTGAACAATGACCGGGCAAAGGTGATCCTGAAGCCAGATAAGACTACTATTACAGAACCACACCACATCTGGCCCACTCTGACTGACGAGGAATGGATCAAGGTGGAGGTGCAACTCAAGGATCTTATCTTGGCTGACTATGGCAAGAAAAACAAGTGAGCAGCAGTGGTGGGGACAGACGGAAGATCCAAAAAGAGTGACATAACAGGCTCAATATATGGTTTTTGGGATTTTGAAACATTTAGGCTCAGAGGTTTCTCACATTGTCCTGGAGATACCTATAGAAGAGAGGTTAGCAGTGTCTTCGGATAGTGTAGGAAGTGTCCATATTTCGGGGCTTCAGTCTGAATCTTGGGTATTGTTTCTCAGCAGAGGCACTGTTGTTATTTTGGGCAAGGCATTTCTTTACTGTCCGTACATTACAGGAAATTTTAACACCCCAGACCACCAGGTACCTGTCATTGTGGCAAGCAGAACTGTCCACACATTTCCAGGGTGGCTGCGTGTACCAGCTCTGACACGTTTTAGGGTTTCTGTTCCTGAGAATTGTTCTATTTCAGGGCACTTTTTATCAAGAAAAAGTGTGAGAGATGGATGCTGAGTAGGTTTGAGTATGGCTGAAAGGTGCACATAAGGCCATCCTGGGATGTGATGAATCTTATTAGTATTAGCACATCTCCACTTCACAGTTCCTTTACAAGTGTCACTTGAAGATTGTCTGGCATAAGAGTATGGGCTACCCTATCCCACCAAGTTACACTCTTGTTATTGAGGCATAAGTGACTAAGGAGAAGGGATCCTTGTAATGTGACCCACACTGTTCCCACAGTGTGAATGTGGCATCACTGACACAGTCAGAAATTCGAGACATCATCCTGGGTATGGAGATCTCGGCACCTTCACAGCAGCGGCAGCAAATAGCTGAAATTGAGAAGCAGACCAAGGAACAGTCACAGCTGACTGCAACACAGACTCGTACTGTCAATAAGCATGGCGATGAGATCATCACCTCTACCACCAGCAACTATGAGACCCAGACTTTCTCGTCTAAGACTGAATGGAGGGTCAGGTACTGTAAGGGGCAAGAGGGATAGGGATGGAAAGACCTGCTCATGTTTGGGTTGAGAAATGCTGACATCCTTCCCTGTTTTTAGGGCCATCTCTGCTGCCAACCTGCACCTAAGGACCAATCATATCTATGTTTCATCCGATGACATCAAGGAGACTGGTTATACCTATATCCTTCCCAAGAATGTGCTTAAGAAGTTCATCTGCATATCTGACCTTCGAGCCCAAGTGAGTAAGGGTGCTCAACCAGGTCACGGTGTGTACTCAACATTTTATTTGTCTAAAATTCAACTGAGGTTTCCTGGAACTTGTGCTAGTTTCAAGATTCATGGATAAGTAAATACATAAGGATAGATTCATGGATAAATAAATACACAAGGATAGCTAAAACAGAAAGGAGGGTTTTGGTCCTCACCAGATATCAAAACATTGTAAAGTTAATGTTAATTAAGAGAATGAGGTATTATTGATCTAGAAGTTATGAGAAGAGACTAGCATATAGTTAGAAACATTCATGTGTGTATAATAAATGTGGTGTATCAAGTCTGTAGGATTAAGGATGTCTTATGATGAAACAATCAGAAAAAGTAAGCTATATCGTTACCTCAAATAAAATTCAAGTAGAATAAAGCTCTGAATGTAAAATGCTTAATAAACTGTAGAGTATTAGAAAAAAGTATTACCTTAGTGTTGGGTTAGCCTTCTTAAACAATACACAAAGGACAAAACTACAATCAAAACTAATAACTTGTGTGTGACAAAAAAAAACTAAAAATATTTGCATAACTAAGATATAATGGATCAGCCTCTAGGGAATTCTCAGAAGTTTGTTTTTTAAAAAAGACAGCTGTAGAAGAATGGGCAAAGAATATGCAGGTAGTTCAGAAAAGGAACTACAGATGGCAAATATAATATGAAAAGATGTTCATCTTTACTAGTTATCAGGGAAATTCATGTTTTATAAAAGATTTGTGGCCTCTGGTTGATGAATTTGAAAAGATTCTTAATCTATGTGGGTGAGTTTATAGATAGGAACACAGTTCCTCTTTGTTGATGGCAGTGTAAAATTTTAAATGCCTCCTCATGAGCTATATGCTTGTGTGCTTATGGATACTATACTTAAATATATCAATTGGGGAGTGTGTGAACAGTGCCAATTCTTGGGGTGCCAGTCAAGAGATTCTGATGTGGTGACTATGAAATGAGGTCCATGTTTAACATTTTGAACAAGTACCCCAGGTGATTCTGATGCAGGAGATTCTGATCACATTTTTAGAAACTGCCCTTATTCTTGAAGGAAAGGAAGCAAAGGGCTGACAGCCTCAAGTCTGGTCTGGTACTAAGAATCGTTTTGACTCTTGACCCCATTGTCTTCAGATTGCAGGATACCTGTATGGGGTGAGCCCACCGGATAACCCCCAGGTAAAGGAAATCCGCTGCATTGTGATGGTACCACAGTGGGGCACCCACCAGACTGTGCACCTGCCTGGCCAGCTGCCCCAGCATGAGTACCTCAAGGTCAGTGGGAATGTGGAAGAACAGGGGCTTTCTGCTGTCAGGGTTGGGGAGGGAAGGCAGGCATGTTACTCTTGTGGGGGGATTCCTGTCTGCAGATAGGGCTCTAAATAGCTTTTCACTGCTCTTTGCCTATAGGAGATGGAACCCTTAGGTTGGATCCACACTCAGCCCAATGAGTCCCCACAGTTATCGCCCCAGGATGTTACCACCCATGCTAAAATCATGGCTGACAACCCATCATGGGATGGTGAGAAGACCATCATCATCACCTGCAGGTGGGCTTGAAGCCCCCCATGTGGGGAAGTATGGTGGGGCTGGCATTGCAGGCCAGGAACCAGAATAGTGGCCTGAACTCTCACTTTGTCTTCATCCCTCTTCAGCTTCACACCAGGCTCCTGCACACTGACAGCCTACAAGCTGACCCCCAGTGGCTATGAATGGGGCCGTCAGAACACGGACAAGGGCAACAACCCAAAGGGGTATCTACCCTCGCACTACGAGAGGGTCCAGATGCTACTGTCAGACCGCTTCCTTGGCTTCTTTATGGTCCCTGCCCAGTCTTCATGGAACTACAACTTTATGGGTAGGTGGGGATGGGGTTAGGCCATCGCCCTTAGCACTTGGGGCCTGCCTCTGGTTTGGAGATGGCCCAGGGGCTCCAGCTGGGTGGGACAAGTAAAGGACAGGTGAACCTTGTTAACATTGGACATTTTCATCTACCCCAAGGTGTCCGGCATGATCCCAACATGAAGTATGAGCTGCAGCTGGCAAACCCCAAAGAATTCTACCACGAGGTGCATAGACCCTCGCATTTCCTCAACTTCGCCCTCCTGCAGGAGGGTGAGGTCTACTCTGCGGACCGAGAGGACCTCTATGCCTAGTTGTTTCCTCACCTGCTTCAGACTCCAGAAAGGCTGGATGGAGCCTTTACCCTGCAGACAAGCTGATGACATTCAACAGCTTGGCTCCTTTTTTCTCTGTTTTGTGCTTGTGTTGACCTCCTGATGGCTTGTAATCCTGAACAAAGTATAATAAATTTTGTATAAATTGGAGGGGGGTTTTTTGTTTGTTTTTTTCTTCCTGAGCTCAAATTCTAGGTGTAGGATTGGCGAGAGGCTGGGCTTGTTAATGGCATGGTGCTGGGCTCAGCCTTGGGAGGATCACGAGTTCCCTTATTCGGGGGCTGTGCAGCTAAATATCCCTTAGTCTCTGGGAACTGAGGTGGGGTTGGACTTTCACACTCCTGCCTTGACCACATTTGTCAATTTTGCTCCAAAATACTTGCAAATTATCACTCCTTTTCAACATCCCTTGGAGCAGTTGCTGCCATTTTTTGAATCTGGAAGCTTGTGCCTTGTTCTCTGCAGCTGTGGTGCCCAGCCTAGCCCCTTAAGTTTTATGTTAGTCCTGGTCAAGAAAATAGGTACGGGGCTGGACAGTTGGCCGTCTCTGGCTAAGGCCAGTGACAACCCTACTTTTGACCTCTGGCCTGGAATGCTTGGCAGTCAAGTACAGGCCCCATGACTCCAGGCAAAGGGGTGGGGCCTGGACTGGCACTGTGGGGAAGGCTTGACGAAAGTGACCATTTACAGCCCTGAACTTCAGCTCTTGGACGCCTGGCTGGAGGTTGGCTGTCCTGCTTCCTGTGACCTTGGCTTGAGCAGAGAAGGGCCCAGGGGGCACTTGGCACTGTCTCCTTATCCACGCTGTTTACCTTCATCGCTCCTCTGTCATTTCTACCCCACCCTCTACTGCCCTAAACTGCTTCCTGGGCGAGAACTGTTTGGCTTTTTCCTGTCACGGGGTTGGGGGAGGGGGTGTTCACTGTCGCAGCCCTTGGCCTTTGGGGGATATGGAGCCCAGGAGGGCGGCGCCTGGGGCGCATGGCTGGGGTCCTCGAGTGGCCGCTGGGTCAGCGACAGCCGCGGAGCTCGTGTACCATCTAGCGGGAGCCCTGGGCACTGAACTGAAGGAGCTGGCTCGCCGCTTCGGGCCGGAGGCAGCGGCCGGGCTCGTGCCGCTTGTGGTGCAGGCTCTGGATCTTCTGGAAAAGGCTGTCGTGGGGCCCGCCCCGGACTCGGTGAGTCACTGCCCCTTTCCCTCGCCATCGCGGGTTCGCAAGGGGCCTAACCGTGAGAGCCGGGACTCCCCAGCTGCAGGCGTCGGCGCAGCAGGCGGAACTGGAGCTGCGGCGGCTGCGGGAGGAGAACGAAAACCTCCGCAGAGAGTTGCTCTCTGGGTCACAGGGTGAGTGCGGGCCCGTCCAGGGAGCAGGCTCAGGGGCTACCTCCTTCGGGCTGCCGCTAAGTAATCCCCCTTCCTCAGAGGAGCGTGCTCTGCTGCGGCAGCTCAAAGAAGTGACGGACCGACAGCGGGACGAACTCCGGGCGCACAACCGCGATCTGCTGCAGCGCAGCCAGGAGACCGAGGCGGTGAGGGTGGTGTGGGGCGGGGCAACTGCGCAGGGCAGGGCTCCCTCGGCCCCTCGGCGCTCCGCCCACCAGCATCACCATTTGCTCCGCCCCCAGTTGCAGGAGCAGCTGCAGCGCCTCCTACTGGTGAATACAGAGTTGCGGCACAAGCTGGCCGTGGTGCAAATCCAGCTGCGTGGCGCACGAGACCGCGAGAGCGAGAGAGAGCTGCAGCATGCAGGGGCCGTGGAGCTGGCTCAGGAGCGGGCGTGGGACCAGGCCGGGGGTCCTGGGTGTGAGCAGAGGCCAGAGGCCGAGCGGTCGACGGCTGGAGCAGGACCCCCGGGGGCCTCTGAGGGCCCGGTGAGTGCCGGTTGAGGTCAAGGACCCATTCTAGTACTCGCAGCGTCTGGCAATTTGTGGGCACTTGGGAAAGGTTTGCTGTGATGCGTAACAAGACCAGCAGAAAGTTAGAAGTGTGTCCTCCCAGCCGGCCTTCATCCTACTCTCAGCTAGAGCACTGGTCTGTCATCTGTTGTAGCGCCCTTGCCTCCCAAGTCTCCGTGCCAGTCACTCCCTCTAGCATTCCAGTGATGGCCCAGGGGCAGGGGACCGCCAGCCGAGGTACCCCTCTGATCAAACCTGTCTTTCCATAGGCTGATGCCTCACAGCAGCCAGGGCGCCCTTCCGATGTAGGGCAGTGCGGCTTCAGTCGAGAGGAGCTTGAGCAGATCCTTCGGGAGCGGAATGAGCTCAAAGCTAACGTGTCCCTGCTGAAGGAGGAGTTGGCCTACTTCCAGCGGTGAGGGCGCTGCAGAGGCTGGGAAGCGGAGGGGGCTCCAGTTACACCTGTTCCTGGGCCTCGGGGCACCCACCTCACTCTTTGGCTCATTGATGTATAAACAATGACATGAGGCAGGCACTATGTTGGGCACTGGGAGGACATGAATAACACAGCTCCTGCCCTTTTGGAAGTTCATCCTTGGGGTGAGACTGTTGACAAGCCCACCACTTTTTCCCTGCTCCTCCTCCTTCTCTGTAGGGAGCTGCTCACAGACCACAGGGTCCCTGGGCTTCTGCTGGAAGCCATGAAGGTGGCTGTCAGGAAGCAGCGAAAGAAGATCAAGGCCAAGATGTTAGGGACCCCAGAGGAAGCAGAGAGCAGGTATGTCTCTGCCTTCATCCCCACGGAGTCAGCCCTCCCTCCTTTGTTCTGCTGAGCCTGATGACCCAGCTCTAAGCTGGCCAAGCCACCTCCTGAGTCTGCTGACCTACTCTGGTCACCCTGTTTAGATTGCCGACCCAACTTGGTCATCTGTTGAGTCTTTTGTCTCAGACTGAACCTATCACCCCAAGACTAGTCACCCTTTGAGCCTAGTACCTTGGCCTAGTTAGTCACTCCTGAACCTGCTAACTCGGCCTGGTTATCCCCTGAGCCTATTTGCCCTGCAGAGTCTGCCACCCCCTCCTGGTCACCTCCTGATCCTGCTGTCCAGCCTGC